TTACATCACGCAAGATATGAATTAAAAATTCTAACGAAATAAAAATATATCGTATATATACGCTTCAAGATTAGAGTCGTAAAGTATATCAGCGATGCGGTTGTGAGAGCTTTTCTTACATTTATGTTACATGTAAGTACTCGTATTCGTACTACGAAAGTAAGTTGTATAATTGCTTCTATTTTACACGTGATAATGTCAATTGTTTACATACCAATAGAAATATACGCTAGAGGTCACTATCTATTGATAAAAATATTTCATTTATTGATAAAAAAAATATTTTATCTTATTGATAAAAAAGTAAGGAGAAGTTGGCAGTTCTCCATAAGAACGATATTGTGAGTTCACTTCGCTTGATCCCAATTATTTTCAATAGATATGTCCGTTTAACCAATGCATGTGTTTTCTTTTTATATGCATCTATTGTATTAGTTATATATACTAATGTTGCTGGTGGAAATTATTTTCTCGCTTTTAACGCGGTCACGTAACTGGCAGACTATTGATTATCATTCAAGGAAAATGAAGAAAAGATTGCTCCTCTGTTTTCTATGCGCCATTATACTTTTCATTCTGATGGTCTCCACTGATAATGATTTCATTCAACATGTGTCACCGTTCGGTGACTGGAACGACATCACATGTTACAAAGAAGAGAGCACATCGAATGGCCTTCCGGATTTTGATCCGGAATTAGGTACGTTTAATGAATTCAACTTTCTTTCAATCCAACTCGGCACATTAAAATAAGTAAAGAAGTTTCATACGGCGATTTCACTTTTGAGTCACAGCTTGTTTCGAATTTCTTATCTGTTTTCGAAGAAATATCTACCTCGGTTACACACACAGTGCGGCTTAGACAAATTTATCCTGTTAACGTGTTAACTTGGACTGTAGATAACTAAAGAGGATTCAAATTCAAAGTGCTGAATTTACTTCTAGATAACAAATTTTGAAATTAAAAGAGGATTCAGATTCAAAGTGCTGAATTTACTTCTACTGTGCTTACCACATAAAACACTGTACACGTAGTAATTGTTTTGCTATGGAGTATCTATTACTTTTTATAATTGTATTGCATTCACTCGACAGTATTTCATACCAGCTGGCCTATATCATTTATCTCATCCGGTGATTGCAATAAAAACTTTTTCTTTTCTTATCTTATCTTAAGGTTTCTTTTCTATCTTATCTCTCTACTGTGAATTTTTATATTTGAATTTCACACTCAATTTGACAAGAAAAATTTACAAAATTTTAAAAA